TGGTTGCATAGGCTGGTGTGCTTCTTCCATGTGGGCTTTGTTGCTTCTGAGCTAGATGGCCGCTTGATTACCTTTAAGCCTTTAAGACCCCAGACGCTATACTTTTTGATACTGGCTATATTTTTAATGTGTGGGGTTGGAAGGGGATGCGAGGGCAGGCAGTTTGACCGCTTTGCGGCCATTGGCTGAGGCTAAGACGGTAAATCTTTATGAGAGCAAACAGCCTCCTCTTTCTCCTACAGCGCCATGGGCGGGTTTGAACCCCTGCAGTTAGCAGCCCAGTGCCTGACACACAGTGCCACCAGAGCTCCTTAAGACTCCAAACTCACTGTCCTGAAGTTGATTCCACTCAGAGGGACCCCATAGGGCAGAGATCCACCAGCTCTGTGGGTTTCTGAGGCTCTAAATCTTTACTGAAAGAGACTTTAAGCCTTTACAGAAAGCCTCATCTTTCTCCGGTGGAGCATCTGGTAGGATTGAACTATTGACCTTGTGGTTAGCAGCCCAACACATAACCCACTACATCACCAATGCTCCTTAAGAGGTCCTGAAATGTGGTGGTCTCCAAGCTTTCTTGATAGTGCACTAGAAAAAAAGTTTCCGACACTGCATCCTTAATAATGTATGCATGATTTCATTGTAAAGTATATACATATCCATCACATTAATATATGTTAGAGAACTTTCAATGATTGCATAAAAATAGAAGTGGAAGTTTAATATTTTCTTATCATTTCCCAATGGGGGGACTTGAGACATCTCTTTGTGAGATGTCTCCTATAGAATCCATATGCCCTGCTACAGATGGACCCAAACCCCACCTGAGCCCACAGAGAAGAGCCTCTGTCCCCCCAGCCTCCTGAAGTTTGCCTTCAAAGTTGAGCTCCAAGTCCTCGTTCTCTTCTACCTCCTCCAGCAGGGGCCTCCTCTCCTGACCCCTTGCTCCCTCTGCCGGGAGGACACTCACAGCTCCATCCGAGGCAGGGGCTGGGATGGCAAAGACACCTGGTCTAGGGGACGGGCTCAGCCGTGGTAACGTATGTCCCTTGGGACCACTCCATTTCCTCGACCATCACCAGAAGGGTGCTTCTTTCATGTTGCCCCTGGGACACACGTGTGTCGGCATTTACACAGGGCAATTCCCTGGGCCTGGGTTGTCTCTTATCAACACTTCATCTGTACGTAACTCCTGGACAGGCTGGGAGCCCTAGAAGCCAATCAACAGTATGTACCTAGGTCGGGGTGGCAACTTGTCTATTTCTCCTGGGGGACTGAGCAGCAGAGGTCAGTGCTAGGGCCTGGAATTGCCCTCAAGACCAGGTAAGAAACTGCTGCCTTGTCCCTAGGTACCTGGGAGCATGTACCCACTGTGCTGTTGGCTGCTCCTTCTAGGCCCTGGTTCAAGGTATTTTTCCCAGTGGCCCAAATCCGAGCCCTGAGGAACAGACATGGCCGTTTCCCTCAAAGAAACCAGGCTGCAGGCGCAAAGGGAGTGGGGATGTTTCCTGCCTCTCCCTGTGCTCCTTCGTGTTTGATCTCGGACCTGGGCTCCAGCCAGTGCTGGGCCAAGCAAGCTTCCAGGTTGAAGGAGATGTAAAGCCTACAGTCTGGGTCCAGAGCTTTGGAGATGCGGTCTGCATGAACCTGAGCTGTCTGTGTCCTGGTTAATTAGGGTCAGGGACACCAAAACCAGCACAAAGGCTATGTGGTCCAGGCCCATTTGCTAAAACTTTGTTTCATCACAAAGGCTGCCCAATCGATAAGAGAGTAGATGATTCAGCCACAGCCTTCCTGCCCCAAGGACCAACCCACAGCTGTGAGCTGAAGCTTCCCAGCCCTCTGACACTTCCCCTAAGGCAGTGCCCACTCCTCCCCCTTTCTCCACCCTATCCTCAAGTGTGCCCAGCAGCTACCAGGCTGCAAGCGTTGCCCTCTCTCCTTCCAAATCCAAATCTGGTAAGGTATTAAGGGGGGCCCCTTCCATGAAATTTTGCATTTTAACCGTGGTCAAAACTGTTCACTGTTGTATTTTGAGTGCTGACCAAACTGGGGGGATTGGGTGAATACTGGACGATGTAAAGATCTTCTCAAGCGGGCTGGCCCCATTACCAACTAAGTGGACAGCCCCCACCTGCACCCCCCAGAAGAATTCATTTCAGAGGACAGCACTGAAGCTCCAGCTCAAGGAGAGGGACTGGTCTGATCAGAGCACACGGGAGCAAACGAGGGGGAAGGAAAAAAGAATGGAGCACATCCTGGCCCACCAAGCCCTGAGGACAATCTTTCTGCTCAGAGCAGCCAATGCACAGAGAGAACCAGGCCCCACCACGAGACATGACGTTCCTCACTGACCGATAGCATCATGGGGGACAACACTGGAGACACACAGTGGGAATTGTGCCTGCCCTGACCCCACCACACGGAGGTGAGACGCTGGGGGCGTGAGACAGAGCAGCAAGGGAGCAGAGCAATGACAACAGAGCAGCAAGAGGAGTACAGCAATGAAGTCCCCAGGGAACACCAAAAATAGGCTGTGGGGCCAGGGCCTGGCACCCTATCAGAAAACACCCATAAAGGTGTTTGAACTGTTTATAGGCTTTTCTTTCTTTCTGTCTCTTTTTTTGTCGTTGCCTTTTTGTTGTTGTTGTAGCAGCCATTGTCTTATTTTCTATTGTTGTTTTGTTGTGCCAGGTCTTGTGTTTGTGCATATTGTTGTCCCTGTGTTGTCTATCTGGATGGGATAGGCGGGATAAACAAACCAGAAGAGAGAACAACTGGATGACAGTTGGCCGAGGTGGGGGGCGTGCGGCAAACTGTGGGGGG